TTTGTGCGTTCAGAGGTGCCTCCGGAGGGTTGTTTTCTGTGGCACAAGGTAAACCATCAAAAGATATGGGCCCATCCTAGCAGTTAGGATTTTGACCCAGATGACAATGCTTCTACTTATTTTGCTTTTTATTTTTATTTTCTATTTTTATCTTTTTCTTGAACAAAGTTTGTTACTTGGAGAGGGGTTTAGCGAAATCTAACTGTTTTATTTTTCTTTTGAAATTTCAGAAGCTTGGAGATATCACTGAAATGGCCTTTGGGGGACGCTATGTCATTTTGATGATGTCACTATTTTCGATATACACGGGTCTGATCTATAATGAGTTCTTCTCAGTCCCATTTGGACTATTTGGTCGCTCAGCATATGAATGCCGTAGTCCTGATTGCAGGTATATCAATGTAACCTTTATTCTACTTTAGCCACATTTTTCTCTAATTCATGCTCTATGACACTCGTTAATCCCCCATCACTGTAGCGATTCCACCACTGTGGGGTTGATAAAGGCGGGTTCTACATATCCATTTGGCTTGGATCCTGTATGGCATGGCACTCGAAGTGAGCTTCCATTTCTCAACTCTCTGAAAATGAAAATGTCAATTCTCCTTGGAGTTGCACAAATGAATCTTGGAATTATAATAAGCTATTTCAATGCTACATTTTTCCGGAACAGCATCAATATCTGGTGAGTTCTTTTGTACTATTTTTACATTTTTATCAATTTTTTCATAGATTTACTTAAAAGCTCGTTTGATAACTATTTAGTTTTTAGTTTTTGAAAATTGGGTTCGTTTTTTTTTTTCATCATTTCTCTACTATTAGTTTAATATTTCCTAAAAAGATATTTGAATTCTAAGCCAAATTTAAAATTATAAACAATTTTTTGGAAACTACTATATTTTTTATTATTATTTTTTTTTTTTCAAAACTTGACCTTTTAAAAACATAGGTAAAAAGTAGATAGAGGTGGAAGTAGAAATACATGCTTAATTTTCAAAAACAAAAAATAAAAAATGATTGTTTTTTTTAGAAAAAGACGTTCTTTTCTATTGGAGGCAGGCTTCCCATGAACCAATTGGTTTTGAGGGGATTCCCATCTTCCTTATTTGGTTAGAGTGAGGCTTGAGAGAGTGATGATGAATTTTTTTGTGGGAAGGGGTTAGGAAGGGGGTGCATCCCGTAGGGTGCAATAAGTATTGGGAAAAATACTCCTAATTTAGATTAGAGAGTCACATATATAGGTAGACAAGAGAAGCCTAAACTAGAAGAATGTACAATTACAATAAATGACGACTATACACAATAACATATTATTATAACACTCCCCTCCAGCTGGAGAAAATAAGTCAACCATGGCCAACTTATTGTAAAGGTAATTTATTCTTGCTCCATTTAAGATTTTACCAAGAATATCTCCCAATTGTTCTCCCATCTTCACATACTTACGGACACCAACCTTGTTATATTTTCTCATTAATTCACTTCAATATGTTTACTGTTTAGTCTTCTCACGAAGCACTGGATTAGACATAATGTGAAGTGCAACTTGATTATCACACCACAATTTAGATGACATAGTAATATTGAAGCGTATCTTAGTCAAAAGTACTATTTCACACCGACTGTGCCATATCTCTATATTATGACACACACTTGAACGTGAAAAAGAGAGGGGATGTTCTACATACTTCAAATACTTGGGGTTATATTGTAGTTTTTCAATCTTCTGTATTTAATATGATTCTAGTTACTTAGGTCTATCATCCTGCTCTTCATAAGTAGTGAATAACAATTGTGTAAAAAAAAAAAAAAAGAAAAAAAAAAAAGAAAAGAATATATATATATCGTAAATAACGATTATTGTGAATAAATCGTCTGCTTTGCATTGTTTGTCAATATTGAATTGACTCATGCGTACACATTTTAGGTTCCAATTCCTGCCACAGATGATATTTCTGAACAGCCTTTTCGGTTATNAAAAAAAAAAAAAAAAGAAAAAAAAAAAAAGAAAAGAATATATATATATCGTAAATAACGATTATTGTGAATAAATCGTCTGCTTTGCATTGTTTGTCAATATTGAATTGACTCATGCGTACACATTTTAGGTTCCAATTCCTGCCACAGATGATATTTCTGAACAGCCTTTTCGGTTATCTTTCACTTCTGATCATCATAAAGTGGTGCACTGGTTCAAAAGCTGATCTGTACCACGTAATGATATATATGTTTTTGGGCCCAACTGAAGATCTGGCTGAAAATCAGCTTTTTCCTGGGCAGAAAAATGTTCAGGTCTCGTCCTACTAATATTGATGTTCCTATGAACTGTTGGATTTATTTTTCTCATACGCTTCTTTTTTCCCTCCTGTTTCCAGATTGTGCTCCTCTTACTCGCTCTTATTGCCGTGCCATGGATGCTGCTTCCAAAGCCTTTTCTTTTGAAGAAACAGCACGAACAGGTCTGCTTTGGATTCTCTTTACTGGTCCTACTTGTGTGTGTGTGTGTGTGTGTGTAGGTCGGTGGAGATCCTTTGTTATGTTTGACTAGGTTCTTTTATCTGACAATCATGTTTCTTTCAGAGGTTCCAAGGCCAGTCTTATGCGCCACTTCCAAGTGCTGATGATTCCCTTGAGTTGGACTCGCATCATGATTCACATGGTCATGAGGAGTTCGAGTTCAGTGAGGTTTTTGTGCATCAGCTTATACATACCATTGAATTTGTGCTTGGAGCAGTGTCAAATACAGCCTCCTATCTTCGTCTATGGGCTTTAAGGTATGTAAATCAAGCGGTATCCATTTTCATTTTCTTGGTTACGTATTTGGCATTGCCATTCATTATCGATTATTTTTTCTTTTTTTTGCATGAACCACTATTTTTTTCTTCTTTTCTCTGACACATTGCCTTATACATGTAAATGGAACTTTGATGATGTTAGAATTTAAAATTTTTAACTTCTGTTAGAACCCCAATTAGCGCCACACGGTGAAGTTAAAGAGAATTCTATGTTCCCTTAAAAAAGAAAGAAAGTCTTCCTTTGTTAAATACGAACAGTGCAAAGTACTTGTAATAATTTATTGCCTTCAACGGCCTGTTCGCTTTAAGGTTTGCTAATTTTAATTTTAATTTTTTTGTTATCCAGTCTTGCACACTCGGAGTTGTCAAGTGTGTTCTATGACAAGGTTCTCGTTCTATCTGCAGGGTACGTAATTATTCTTCATGTTAACGTCTTTTCCTTTAAGTTGTTTTGCATTATAGACTAGGGAATTAAGAGAATTGACCTATTGTCACATCTAAATCGGTAGCCTGCATTATATACCTGCTGTGCTTTTAGACCATTCTCTATAATCCCTCTAAGTTGGTGGTAGTGGATGGTTAATTACAATGGTTGAACAAAACAAAACAGTAACAAAAGATTTCATTTCCTCAGGTTCAACAACGTTATAATCTTAATAGTAGGCATTATCGTTTTTATTTTTGCTACCGTGGGTGTGTTGCTATTGATGGAGACTCTAAGTGCCTTCCTTCATGCACTGCGTCTTCATTGGGTCGAGTTTCAAAATAAGTTCTACGAGGGAGACGGTTACAAATTCAATCCTTTCTCATTTGCATTGCTTGACGAAGATGATGAATAATCTTCGATTGGATATGAAGCCTTGAGAGCTCTGTTTTGGTTTGTGCACAGAAGTGGTTTGTATTCATTTTTTCAATTTAAAGATGGCATGGTAATTGTCATCGTCCTTTGTTAAGGAGTGCATATGGTTTTGGCCTTTAGCACTTGCTTTTTTTCATTTCCTTGTGCTGCAAGAGGAAAATAATTGGCTTCTTAGATTGGCCTCTGCCTTTGTAAGTGGTAACAGTGATGACCTAATGTAATAATCAAAGATACTGAATCATTTCTCTATGTTTATATATATTTATGTCTGCGAATATTTCTTTAGAAGAGTTGTGCTGGTTCAGTGCTAGTTTTGAAGATCTTTTCAACTGATTGCTCTTTTGGATTCTTTGGTATGAAAGGAATGGACAGATTTTCAATGATCAGCACTCCATCTTTGATGCTTTTAATGCTCTTTATGTGGTGTACAAGCATCAACATCTGTTTAGATCTTTTAGTCTTCTCTTTTTTAATAATGAATTAACAAGCTTTTTCTTGAAAAGTTCACTTTTTAATTTCATTCATCAATAAAATAATGTCTTTGGACTATTGAAAAGTTTATTCTAACTTAGAACTTCAAACAAAAGATGATTGATTTGTTGTTAGTTCTTTACATATATGGGCAATGTGACTTAATTTGTGTATTAATTCTATGATGTGTATGTGTATTGAATGCATATAGTTTGTTTGAGTTAGGTATTGAGTAATGTCGAGGATTGAAAGGTGAATTATTTTTTTTGTGAGTGTCAATAAGTTTAGAGTTTGGTGATTATAATGTTTGTGAATTAGAGCTTTTGTGTTGAATGAAGGTTATCGAATTAGAGAGCTTTTGTGTGAATGAAGGTTACCGAATTAGAGAGCTTTCATGTGAACGTTATTGAACTAGAGAGCTTTTGTGTGAATGAATGTTATTGAATTAGGGAGATTTTGTGTGAATGAAGGTGTTATCGAACTAGAGAGTTTTTGTGTGAATGAAGGTGTTATCGAACTAGAGAGCTTTTGTGAACAAACGTTATTGAACTATGTGCGAATGTACGTTATCCAACTAGAGAGCTTTCTTGTAAATGAACGTTATCGAATTAGAGATCTTTCCTGTGAATCAACGTTATCAAATTAGAGATCTTTCTTGTGAATCAACGTTATCAAATTAGAGATCTTTTGCGTAAATGATTGTGTTATTGAATTAGAAAGTTTTTGTATGAACGAACGTTATTGTACTAGAGAGCTTTTGTATGAACGAACATTATCGAACTAAGAGAGCTTCTGTGAATGAACATTATTGAATTTTGGCTTCTTGGCACATGCTCGCCACAGGAGAACAAAAATAATGAATAAAAACAATATATACTTTAACTTTGTGTCTTATTTTTTTTGTTGGGTTTATTGGTGTAATAACAAACATATATGCATAGGCTGTAGCTGATAATAAGTGCATCAGCCTTGAACGTAGCTTTGAGAATTCACAGTTTCATGAACTTGGATCCTCCCATCTACTCTGCTTGTGCTGCAATGGGAGTATGAACTGCTGCAACAGTTGACACCAAGGAATCAACTCCACAGATATTCCTACCTTTGCAAATTCTGTAGTACCCATTTTCTCCCCAATTTGGACCCCAAGAGTTCTTGATGATCCAATAGTCCCTGTCTCTCATTCTGATGGGAGCATACCCAGCTGAGCCATAACCCACCAGCAAAACTCCATGATCCAACCGCTTTGAACATATGAATGGACATGATACTCCTCCTATGTATGTCTGCATGAACACCGCATTGATAGCAACTGCATTGGGGTAAAAAAAACAAAATTTTTATCAGCTGCTAGTGACCCGTTTGATATTAGAAGTTCAAGAGATAAAGAGGCCTTGTTCGTTGAGATTTTGAAACGTTTTTTGCTCCTAAAAGTAAATAACAAAGCAAAGAAACTCAATTTTCGTTTGAATGTGAAAAGGGTATTTACTTGCAAGCGGGCCATTTTTCACCAGATTTGCAGCAATTTGATCCTCATCAAGTGAAACAACGCTGAAATTGGCAACTGATGCAGCAATCTTGGACCTGTCAAATTTACAGGTTTCACGATCGGTTCCAGTGTAGGGATAATCTTGCTCCCTCATCAGACCTCCAACTTTTAGTGTGTATTCAAGTGCACTATTCATCAGGCCACCATTGCAACCAGAATCACAGGAACCAGCTTCCTCTGAATCACACTGCAGAATACACAAGATATATCCATAACATTTCCAAGTTAAAAAGTTTGCATCAAGACATCAATCATGTTGTTCTAATTATCATGGAGATGTTCCAATTCATCCCACAACAATTCAAGCACATAGTTGCTAATTAATTATGGTCATAAAATATACCTAGTGGCCATAAAATATGAAAGTTCAACTCTTATGACATATAATCATCCGTAAAGAAAAGGTTGTTCCAAAATGTTGTTCCAATTATTATGGAGAATTCATCTGACAATACAACAATTCAAGCACATAATTGCTAATGATCATAAAATATACCTAGTGGCCATAAAATATAAAAGTTGGCCGTAGTAGTAAAAAAAGTATGTATTTTGTTTACCTGACCTAAGTTTTTTTTTTTTGCAATTCTATGCAATTATTATAGTTTAGGTTACATATTTAGAATGATTCAAGCTTAACATAATTGAACTTGCTTGTGGAGGGATCGAATTTGAAAAAAAGTGTGAAGGTTTGAAATTGATTTTCTATTAAATGCTTTTTTTTCCCCCTAAAAAATGGACCTAACCCAAGACAACAATGAATGTAACAACGAGAAAAATAGAAGGAAATATCAAGGGTTGATTAGGCATCATGACATCCACAAGAAAGTAATCACAACTTCAATTGAAATGAAGTTATTACTTAGCTATCATGATCTATTTATAAGTGGGAATGATGAGAACAGAGCAATTACACAGCTATTTGAAACAGAGAAGGAAACAAACCTCGTGATCACAATCTACAAGCTGCTGTTCGCTCAAGCTAACAAGTTCTCCTGTGGCAAGGAAATTAGCACCTTCAAGGGCACCGGTTGTACTGAAACTCCAGCAGGATCCGCAAGTTCCCTGATCCAATATACATGTTCATAGCTAAACTTCAACAAACCAAAATGGAAGGATAGCAGCTAATTGTAATGAAATTAATATATGGCGTAAGAATTAAGGATCAAAACACACGCAAAAAGCATTTCAGATTAACAATCGTCCTTCAATCTTCCACAGATAACAATCTGTTTACCAAAAAAACTTAAGGAAAAAGAACAAACAAGAATCAAATCACATCTAGAACTCGAAAGATTGCAATTAAACAAGGGAAATGAGGTGAAAAAATAGCACGAAACCTGATTTTTCACAGGAGTTACAGCACCACGTTCTCTCCAATCAAAATCACCCGGAAGATTCTCCGTAGGGAGAATTGGAGCCTGATTGGCATGTAGAGGAAGTTTAAGACGATGACCTCGTAGCCCTAGAAAGGTTTTCTGAAACTCAGAAACGGTCAAATCAGAGAACTGAGTGACGCCATGAATAGCGGATGGATCAAAAGACTGATGGCGGAGCGCTCGTCGCATATTAGCCCTGAAGATCCTGAACCTGCGATTGTGCTCTTCCTCGGTAGCATACGATTTTCCGAATTTTCGCTTGAAGAGCAAAAAGTGGTGCTCCGCTTGGAGCGGGAGATTATTTGATTCACCGTCGTCAATAACTTGACGAATCAGCGGACTGACGGAATACGTCGAGGCCAAAGATTCCGATGAGCAGAGGACGGCGGCGGCGATGACGACGGGAAACAACAAGAAACTCCGATCCATGATTGAAGACAAATTACAAGGGGCTTCACGGTGGCTCTAAGGTGCTTTAAAGCGGGAGAATAAAAGGGTAATACAATCTATTTTTGAAAATGGATAATTCAAAATATTATGAACTGAATATTGGCCGTAGATTTACAATATCTTGTGGGCCCCACAACTTAACGGTATAGATTGCTTTAACGTGGCGGCGGAGTTCCCGCCATTTTCAGTTAGTTAGTTAAGTATATGTGGTGGCCGTTGGAGTTATTTTTTCTCACCCTATATTTAATTTTAATTCTAATTTTGGTTTTAAAAAAAAATTAAATAACTATTTTGAATCTGAATTTTAAAATATTTATTTTAATTTTAAAAACTTTATAAAAATACTCTAATTAATTTTTATTTTGGCTAATACACATAGCTCTCAAATTATCATATTTAAAATGAATAAATAAAGACTAAAATAAAATATTTGTAAGTTTAGAAACTATAATAAAATTAAATATGTTTTTTATATCAAAATTATTTTTTTAATATAATTTTATTTCAAGAAATATTTATATTAGTAATAAATGAAATTTAAAAATGGCAAAAAATTTATAATCTAATGCATTAATTTTTTATTTTATTTTTAATTTTGCTTTTTGAAAATAAGTTACAAGTACAATACCTATGATTTTTTTTAGTTATCATTTTCAAATTATAACGTTGAAGTCGAGTATAGAAAATTAAAATTAGGCATTTTTCATAACTATTTAATTTTTGCAAAATTATTTATGTTTTCACATTTTCGTAGAAATGTTCACGATGACTCCACATTTGATTTTTGTTTGGTTTGGGTTCGGTTAAATTTTTTAAAAAATAAAAAAATTTGTTCAATTTGCATGTCGACATTTTACCCGACCAATTCCAAAATAAGGTTAGAAGCCAACATAATCCCTAATCGATTGTAACTAATGTTAGTGATGTTGTGACCGGTAAATGTTTGATATTTGAATTTTATGAGATTTTAGTTATTAATGTAAATGTATGGTGAATAAATAGTATTTTTTTTTAAATAATTAAAAAAAAACAACTTGATACCAAACTCGAAAATAAAGGGTTGAGTTGGACTGGATTTGTGAGCTTAATTTTGCCTCACCAACTCAACCAACCCGAATGAAGTAGTTCATGAGAATATTTGCTAAAACCACCACACTGAAGGTTCTCCATTTATAATCATTTACATGGAAAGAACAATAAGTGTATAAAATATATTTTCCAATAATAAGAGGACAAATATGATACATATGTTAAACCATAATGAAATACTTCAATATGATATATATGGTGAACCATAATTCAGGATTAAATACCCGTAACACCCCCACAAGCTGAGTGTTGAATTTGAACGAACCTAAAACTTGAATTTCAAAAATTCAAAGAGAGGTCTTTTTGTGAAGATATCACCAACCTAGTTCAGAGGAGATGTCTGTGCGACGTAGTACTTTCTTGACCATCAAAAACTGTAGAAGGATCATTGAGCAAGGGCGATGCTGCTTTGGCTCCAACGAGAATATGTCTACCACACAAAGTAGAAGGGAAAACCTTGAGGAAGAAGGAGAATAGAGAGAGAGAGAGTCATTGGAAGGGCCTTGGTCAAGCTGTGAATAGAACAAAAAAGCAGAGAGAGTATGGAAAATCTCCAATAGAATTTCATGGGGTGTGGGCTATAGAGACACAAGGCAGAATAGAATTTCATGGGGTGTGGGCTATAGAGACACAAGGCAGAGACTTTAGAATTAAGGCAATGACTCTATTAAGTGAAGGAGGAAGGGTGGACGTGGTTGCAATCAGAGCAAGAGAGGAAGAAAATGACAGAAACTGAGAATGCAGACTCTGAGGTGTATTTTAGATGAAGAAAGAAAGAGAGGAGGTGGAGATGGAGTGGGGTATGCGTCTTGTGAACATGTTTACTATCGAGCAAATGAGCACGAGTAAGAATATCTTGAGCATATTTTAACTGACTAATAAAGAGATCATTAAGAGTGGGTGAAGAGCCACAATGATAGATCCAGAGACAGTGATTCTGTTCACAACACCATCATTGTCAGGAGTGGAGGTCGGTGACAGAGTAGTAGGCGAAGCCGGTGGAGAAGTAGCCAACGCCATAACAAGTGGTGAAGTTCCAATGGACGGAGAGGGAGCCACGTGTCAGAATTGCACTCTTGATGACAACGGACTTATGATTGTGCGACACTCACTTTCCAACGACAAGTGAGCAAAGCCAATTCGTTCTTACGTCGCCTACGGCCAAGTGACATATGTTCGAGCCTCTGGCCTCAGTTTATGAGAAGGTTTTAGAAAACGAGGGCAAAGAAAGATTTTCGAAAGAGATTTTTGAAAGAGACGTTAGATAAGCAAACAAGAGAGTAACAACAATGGCTCGCAGTATATAACCTTGGGTTGGGAGAAGTTGACAACTAGTCATATCCCCTATAGTACATTAGGCATTTCATGTCTAGCAGACCTAGATATGATTTTTCTTAAACGTCATACTCCCTCGAAATACAAAAAGAAAACACTAGAACATGGAAAGACATAAAGGGTTTGGCTTGTCATGGACATGCGGCCATGGGCAACACGCCTTGGACGAGCATGACCGTGACATCCTCCCCCACCTAATTGGTTGATGTCTCTGTCAACCGACTACTTTCAAACCTGGCAATGTGGGTGGCGGCGGAGTCCAGATCTTCGGTGCGTTCCCAGCTGGTTTCCTCCGTAGGGAGATTCTTCCATTTGACAAGGAATTTGTGAATCTTCCGTACGGGTCTTCCTATCTTCTTAACTCTGTCGGCTAGGATCTCCTCTATTTCTTTGGTATCTCTTTGTTTCAGATCGATGCTCGGTCTCGTGATTACATTTCACTAGTCGTCATCTGAGTCAGGGTGATAGGGTTTCAAGTTGTTCACATGAATTACTGGGTAGATTTTCATCCATGTGGGTAGTGCAACTCTGTAGAAAGTAGCCCCGATCTTTTTAAGGACTTCAACCGGGCCTTCATATTTTCGAACTAGTCTCTAGTCCTTTCGGCTGCAGAATCTGATCTGTTCTAGTCTCAACTTGATGAGGACTTGGTCTCCTACTCGAAATTGGAGGGGGCGACGCTTCTTGTCCGCCCACTTCTTCATATGCTTGGAAGCTTTCTCCGAATAAGCCCGGGCTATATTTGTTGTCTGCTTCCATTCTCTGGTGAAATTTTGAGATTGAGGATTTTTTCCTGCATAAGGATGATCAATAATATAGGGCAAGGCCGGCTGTCGTCCACTTATAATTTTGATGGGGCTCTTTCTTGTAGACGAACTAGTCTAACAATTGAAACAAAATTGAGCGACATCGAGCAGTTGTATCTAGTTCTTCTGGCAAGCTTCGACGAAGTGACGTAAGTATTCTTCGAGCAAGCAGTTGAACCGTTTCCATCGGTTTGAGAATGATAGCTCGAGGAGATGTTTAAAGTCGTCCCCAAGAAGGCGAATAACTCGGTCCAGAATGTGCCGATGAATCTACCATCCCTATCGCTGATGATGCTCGATGGAATGCCCTATAACTTTACAATGTGTTTGAAGAATAATTTAACTGTTAGTTCAGCTAAACATAATTTGGGGGTGGGAATGAACGTCGCATATTTCGAATCGATCTACGACAACCAAGATGGCATCATATTCCCTGACTTTTGGGAGGTGTGTTATGAAGTCCGAAGACACACTTTCCCAAGGCTTCGTTAGTACGGGTAGAGGTTACAAGAGTCTCAAGACTTTGGCTTTCTCGACTTTGTCCTATTGGCAGATGAGGCATGTCTTGGTGTACTGCACGATGTAGTCTCGCATATTTGGCCAGAAGTACCATTTTTTATTAAGATATATGTTCGTTGCCACCCAAGGTGTCCGACCCATAAGGTATCACGACATTCCTGAATGAGCTTCTTCCTCAGTTCTTCTATTCTTGGAACGTATAATCTGTTTCCCTTTGTCATTAGAAGGTCTCCCTCGACCCAAAAATGTCGTGTCTTCCCAACCTTGACTAGTTCAACGACGGCTTTGGTCGATGGGTCTTTATGTAAATGTTCTTTGATGATGTCGATCCATCGATCTTACTTGAGTGAAAATGGGCTAACATGCACAGGGCCGCATGTTCGCCCTTCCGACTCAGCGCGTCGGCTGCTTGGTTACTCTTTCCTGGCTTGTGTTCGAATTTGAAGTCGAATTCAACCAATGACTCTTGCCACCGGTCTTGTTTTGTCGTCAATTTTGGTTGATCGAAGAAGTGACAAATGACGCTGTTATCCGTCTTCACTACGAATTGTGATCTCAAGAGGTACTGTCTCCAGACTTGTAGGCAATGAACCACAACCAACATTTCTTTTTCGGAGACAGTGTACCTCCTTTCAGCATCATTGAGCTTTCGACTTTCATAAGCGATGGAGTGACCTTCTTGAATAAGGACACCGCCTAGGGCAAAGTCGGAAGCATCCATCTCTATTTCAAACAGTTTAGTAACATCTACTAAACTAAGGACAAGACCCTTCGTCATGGTTGCCTTCAGATCTTCAAAGGCCATTTGACATTCATTTGACCACGACCAAGAGTGGTCTTTCTTCAGGAGTTCTATTAATGGGGCGGCTCGTCGTGAAAACCCTTCGACGAACCGTCTATAGTAGTTTGTCAATTCTAGGAAGGATCGCACATCGGATACTAAAGTAGGGATTTTCCACTATTGGATAGCTTTTATCTTGTCGCTATCCATACCGATCTGTCCACTGATGACATGTCCAAGGAAGTTGATACATGTTTGTGTGAAGACACATTTTTCTTTCTTAACGTACAATTGATTCTACCGGAGCTTGTCAAACACTAGCTTCAGGTGCACCTCTGTGCTTCTCCAGGGTTGTGCTGTATATAACTATGTCGTCGAGGTATACTACGGCGAACTGATCCAAGTATTCGTGGAAAACCTAGTTCATTAACGTGCAGAACGTAGCTGGGGCGTTTGTCAAACAAAAGGGCATTACCAGGAAT